ATAGCTACAACCAGCCTAAAATGACATAAATATTAACTTAAAAATTTTTATTTTTGACATATTGTCAAAAATAAAATTTTGTTTAAAAAAATTCTTCTTTGTTAAGTAACAAAAAAGAAGAAGATTTATTCACCATTGATAGATGCCCGAAAAAATGTAACAAATACATGGAAAATTCAAAATGTGATATTTTACTAACTGCATAAATTAAATAGAAATTATATAATTATAAATTTTGCTTAAATTTTGAATTTCTGACCTTTTGTTTAAATTATTATCACTTTTGCTAATACAAACCATTTCCAAAAAAGTTCTTTTAAATTTATTACTTTCATTACATAAAATTTTAATATTATCAAAATCCATAATATGGTCTTTGTCTATTACATGCTCTGCCAAAGCACAAGATGGTTTCTTAATTCTACAATCACTCTTGTGAGAAATAATGCGATTTGAGAGATTTCTTCCAGTCTCACCAATATACTCAGCTTCACACTGAGTACAAACAATGCTGTATACTACATTTGTTTGATCTAATTTGTCTATAGGATATTTAGTTTTGGAATATAAAGATGAAATAGTTTTGATGTTCTTTGTTGCTATTTTTATATTGTCAATAACCTTTAATGTTTGTATTAATTTAGGAGTTAATGATGGTATAAAAGGTAGTGAATGATAATATATGTTTTGATTGTTGGATACAGTGTTTTGAGATTTAGCAAAAAATGGTGTTAAATTATTTATATTTAATAAATTAGAAAAAAGCATCCTATGTAGCATATCAGGAGGATAAGAGTTTTCAATTAAAATATTTTTTAACAAATGAAGAATGTAAGAAATACAGACAATATGTTGAAAACTAGATGGTTCAGAAAACCCATATGTAGTAATAGATTTATAAGCTATTACTCTAATCATCCAAATAAAATGAAAATGAACCTTATAACAGGATTAAAGGAACGTGTTTTAAAACTTTCTCATCCAGACTACCTACAAGAAGATCTTCATTTTATTTGGTGAGTTAACAAAAAATTTTTTATTTCTAGTTCAACTTTGTAAGACATTTTGTATTTTTTAGAAGCTCTTGATAAAAATTGTAATCACAATTGAAAGCTCGAGTAAAAAATAGTCAACAAATAGCCCCTTTTATTGACTCCAACCCATCAAAAACAGTGTTATATATGTATATATATATATATATATATATATATATATATATATATATATATATACAGTGTAGGTAAAAGTTTATGGTCGGTATGATAAAATTTAACATGATATCTAACGCAGATATAAAATCATATTTTCAGCGAATAGACAAAGATAACACTCATATTTCCCCTTGGTCTCCCCTCCATAAATATTTTTAACACTCATTGCCGATTAGTGAGACGAATAGTTCCGATCAGAGATATTTTACATATTCTCTGGTTCCGATCCTAATATACATAAAAAACTAGAGGTGGGTCCTCCCGTTTTTTAAATTTTTATCGGAACCGTTTTTCGTAAACTGTAACTAGTTGATTGTTTACCAGTATTCAAATTAGCGAGTACACAAACATATTGATTATTATTGTTTATGTGTACAAGTATTGAAGTGAAAGAACCTAACGAAGGATATATTTATTATAACGTGAAAAATAAATTAAACAATACAAATAGTACTTACATTTACATTACACATTATTAAATCGCGAATCGTCTAAATTGACATTTAAAAACATATTTTCCACTTTTCTTGTTAACCGTGTTCTTCTTTTATTTAAAATTAAACCAGATTTTAAATATGTGTTCACAAGGAAAAGATTTTGTTACAATAGTACAATATTTTATGAATATAGTGGTTAAGTTAAGTTATACATGGCGATGGTTTTTCCACCACGGTTATGGACAGTTCCAATCTCCGTTCGAAATTTTTTGTGGGTAATATATCATCAGACAAATACATGTCGACTTCTTTTATATCTCTCGATACAGGTGTATGTTTAGATGAGTCATGTCCAATTAATTCATCAAAAATACACCATGGACTTAAGTTATCTTTATCACTTTCTTTTTCTTGTACTGGTTCATTTTCAAGATTTACTAAACTTATGCAAAGACTAGTTTCATCCTTTTTCCATAGTTGAAGAACCAGCTTTTAAAAAGTTTGCGCCAACAAGAAAAACTGTCAGGTTCATTACTTCAGGAATGTTATGTCAAAACTGAGCAAATTATTAGATCACACGTTGTTAAAGAAGTAGGAAATATCTCTATTACTGCTGACCTCTGGACGTCTGGAGTAACTGAGAGTTACTTCCCATTAACAGGACAATATTTAACCGAAAATTTAGTATTTAAAACGGTTTTATTAGGCTGCTGCCATTTTTCTGGAAACCATAATTCAGAAAACAGCGATTAGTGAAATTATTAATCAGTGGGGTCTAAAACGAAAAGTAAATTTTGCAGTAACTGATAATGCCTCAAATATGTTCAAAGCTATTAAAGATGTTTTAGAATGAAAACATTTAAATTGTTTTGCTCATACGTTAAATTTATTGGTGGAGGACGCACTTAAATGCTGTTGTGTACAAATAGATAAAATAAAAAGACCTTTTTTGACAATTCTGCAAAAAACACATTTATAAAAAGTACCTTATCTTCAGAAAGGCTTTTAAAGTAATAATTACAACATAACAAAGTTCCCAAACGGCCAATCCAAGACGTGGAAACTAGGTAGAACTTCGCCTATTACATGTTAAAAAAAATGACTCAAAATGAGGCAGTACAAGAACAAGACAGTACAGTACCAGTACAAGAAAAAGAAACCAATAAAGATGACTTAAGTCCATGGTGTATTTTTGATCAATTAATTGGAGATGACTCATCTACACGTACACCTGTATCGAGAGTCCATTACAACGGTGGAAAACCATCGCCATGTATATCCTAACTTAACCACTATATTCATAAAGTATTGTCAATGTGAACACATGTTCAAAATCTAGTTTAATTTGAAATAAAAAAAGAACACGGTTAATAAGAAGTAAAGTAGAAAAACTTATGTTTTTTAATGTCAATTTAGACTATTCGCGATTTAATAATAACGTGTAATGTAAATGTAAGTACGATTTACTATTTGTATTGTTTAGTTTACTTTTCAAGTTATAATAAATATATCATTAGTTTCTTTCACTTAACTAAATATACACATAAACGATAATAGCCATTATGTTTGTTTATGTAGGTACTCTCTTACTTGAAACTACTTTTAAACAATCAGTTACCTACTTGTTTACGAAAATTTAAATTTTTAAATGCATTCATTTTTTTTGGAATCCTGAGAAAACTAACAAATATTTTTGAAAAATTTAAATGCAAAATGAAAGATTACATTATTACCAAGGGCCGAAAGTCCCTTAGAATAAACAAAAAGTTTTTTGAATGAGATATTTGAAATTAAAAATCACACTATTTTTTTTTCCACCCCTATAACTTATTAAAATAAACAATATAGAAGTTTTCAGGGACTTTCGGCATTCGGTAATAGTGTATTGTGTCATTCTGCGTTTAAATTTTTCAAAAATATTTATTAGTTTTCTCCGGATTCGAAAAAAATGAATGCAGTTAAAAAATATTGGCCCTAAATTTTGTGCCTACGTTCTTAACGATAAAACTACCACGACCCACCTCTACTACTCGTTACTCGTTGTTTTGACCAGACAGACGTTGTCAAATAATTATTGTGTATGAATATTTTTTAATGTGGCGTTATTGTATGCAGTTTATTATTTCATATTGGGAATGAGGCACAACGTGACTTTAATTTAAGTTTATTTTGTTGTTTAGATTTTTAATTCGAATTCGGAAAAAAACGGTCTGTCCCCGTTCCACTCGCTAATGCTCTTTATAATCGTAATTCCTCCCTGCATTCCAAAGAAACACATGTATACGACAACAAGCCACATGTGAAAATTATGACATCCTAGGGCAGATACAAAACAAGCGAAAAGATTAGTGTGGTTTGATCCTCGAAAAAGCTTAACCAGCATTCAAATGAAGCCATCGGTTAAAATTAAATGAACAATAGTATTCTTACTGTTGCTCTTGTATTTTTTTTTTGTTTCGTTTCTCTCGTTTAGTTTTTAATCTTTAATGTTAAGTTATCGTAGAGTTTTTATAACATCCTTAAAAAAATCTACACATTGTTTTTGTTTCGTTTCTCTCGTTTAATTTTTAATTTTTAATGTTAAGTTATCGTAGAGTTTTTATAACGTCCTTAAAAAAATCTACAAATTGTTTTTGTAAGTATGAACCCTGTTGGTTATTTACTTATATTCTAAAATCTTCTTTATTTGTAGTGAACTGATGATGCTTTTAAAAATAAAAGCGAAACGTATTCAAATAAATCAATAAAGTAGTTGACGACTTTTATTTGCCAATTATTGACCGATAAAACATCTGCTATTCAACAATTGAGTATATTTTAAATATATATATATATATATATATATATATATATATATATATATATATATATATATATATATATATATATATATATATATATATATAAAATGTTCGGAAAGATTTCCGCGGTTAGTACAATAAAACCTAGAGCTAAGATTAATATTATTACTAAAATTAATATTAAACTCACCAGTCTTCCGGGTTGAACCGCGTCGTAATCCATTTTGCCAAGCTTTCGGCATCCTCTCTGATGCCGAAAGTGATCGTGCCGTGAATAGTGAACAGTGTAGTAGTGTCTGGGGGCTCGGGAGACTGAGACCTCGGAAGCCCTGAGGAAGGCATCAGAGAGGATGCCGAAAGCTTGGCAAAATGGATTACGACGCGGTTCAACCCGGAAGACTGGTGAGTTTAATATTAATTTTAGTAATAATATTAATCTTAGCTCTAGGTTATATATATATATATATATATATATATATATATATATATATATATATATATATATATATATATATATATATATATAGATTTAAGGGTAATCTTTGTTGCAGATCAGAGACTAACATAGTTGATACTTCACCTACACCCACAAAATCACGACGTTCATCAGTACATAGCAATGGGGGTTTGGACATACCTGCTGCTTCTGCAGTTGCTGGTGTCGTTGCTGCTAGTCCAGAGTTACCATATATGACGCCGCCTGTAACACAAGCCAACTTTAGTGGGGATTCTCAAGATTCTTCAAGTAAGTTTCTATTTTATGGTATCTAATGTTAGGTTAGTTTCAAAATGAGTAGGCGCTTAACTATGCTTCTACTCGACCTAGGAGATCTAAATATACCACAATTTTACTTTACAATAAGTTTAATTTAACATTTTGATTTCCACTACGGTAATCGTTTTATATAAATAAAATATATTAACGTTTCGTATTTTAAGTACGATGTCCGAATTGGAAATCTAAACATCAAAATAAGCTTCTTTTAAAGTCAAATTGTTTTTTTTAATGGCCTTGGCATAGCCAATTGACCAGACTGTTTTGTAATTTGTATTCACAGAACAACAATCAGAGTTCGAGTTAGTACTGAATGTAAATTAAAAGTTAAAAGTAAATTAAATAATTGACTTGTTTTAACTGTTACTTTTTGTTTGTGATTTTTTTTTATTTTATTTTGTGTTTATTTTTTATTTTATTTTTTTTTTATTTCCTTGTATTACTTTTTTGATATTGTATGTAATATGTATATATATTTTTGATTTTGTTTTGGTCTTATTTTATATTAATTTTGTTTTGCATATTTTTTTTTTATTTATTTAATTTTTTTTTGTTTTTTTTCCATCTTTTTTTTATTTTTTCGTATTAAAAGGTTTATTACATGATTGATATGTTCGCAAATTGCTTACAAGTTTTATCTTAATTCTAGGGTTAGTACATTATATTGTTTAAAGTTTATATTTACAATTTCTTGATTAACTGATAAATACAATTAAAATAAAATTCATTTATGTGAAATGGGAAACAGACATTTAGTTTTCGTAAGTTTTCATAAAAACATGTAATATTTCCTTGTTGGTTTACACATTCTAATAGGATATGTGTTAAGTCTCGCATATTTACCACAAGTACAGTTTGGAGTGTCTGCTAGATCCATTTTGTACATTCTTGAAGGTGTTAGAGCATGATTTGACCTTAGCCTATTAATAGTTTTAATAAAACTGTTGGACTCTGAATAATACCACCTTTTTTTAAGAAGTGTGGGTTGCCAATATTTAAATGATGACTGTCTTTCGGATTCCGTATAATTGGCTTGCCATCTTAATTTGAGCCGATGTTTACATCTATATCTGACACCGGTAGAATATTGTTGTCTATGGTTTCTCCGCTTGATAATGCTTCTTTTGCCAATGTGTCTGCTATTATATTACCCTTTATCCTAGAATGGCCTTTGATCCATGCGATAATAACTTCTCCTCCGAGCTTTGAAAACTCGTAGTACAATTTTAATATCTCTATATCAAGATGAGTCAATTGCTTGGATTTATTTGTTTCACATAATCTTTCTACTGCACTTTTACTGTCTGTAAATATTACACAGTTCTTCGTTTCCTTTGTCAAAACGTTAGAAAGAGGAAACTTTAAACCCAGCATTTCGGATGTGTAGATGGAGGCTTCATCAGGTAACTTATATTTATGCTGCTGTCCAGAATACTGTTGGTATACTGCGCAAGCAGTGTGATTTCCTTTTTTTGAACCATCGGTAAAGATATAATAATAATTAAGCCATCTCTTCTGAATTTCTGCGTTAAACATGGGGCCTTGGACATCATTGAGAAATTCTGTCTTGATTTTTATTGAGAACAGCACATGAGGCTTTCAGTATAAACTGGTGGAAGATGACCTTTATAAAGTACCTCTTTAAATTTAGAAAGATTTCTGTAGCTTTCCGCCACGAGTGGAGATTTTTTCTTAAACCAATACCTTTTAGTCAAATCTAAAACAGCCAGATTGTGTATATCTTTGAGAAATGCTTGGTCTCTGCTAATGATACGAGCTATATATTTGTCGGTAAGATGCTGCCTCCGTAAATTCAATGGCGGTTCAACAGCTTCAATTTCCATTACATTAATTGGTGTAGATTTCAGATACCCAAAGCACAAGCGTAGGCACTTATTTTTCTATATCTCAATTTTTGTTAAATGGGTGTTCGATGCGTTTCCATACAAGTGACAGCTATAATCGAAAACTGGTCGTATCATAGATCGATAAAACATTAAACTAATGTTGGGATCTGCACCCCAGTTTGTTTTACAGAAAGTTCTTAGGATATTCATAGCTTTTTCGGTTTTTTTAATGATATGTTGAATATGATCTTTCCGCAAAAGTTTTCTGTCTAAATAAGTTCCCAGATATCTGATACAATTTTTAATTGGAAATTTGAATTGACCACAATTTATATACCCTTCTGGAGTTCTACGTTTTCTAGAAAAGAAGCAGATTTCTGTTTTGGATTCTGATAATGTTAATCCATTTGATTCATAAAATGCATGTATTGATTGTTGTTAAATTATTTTTAGAAACATCAATTGATTTATCTGATGAATAGAGTACCATATCATCTGCAAATTGTAGTATTTTGGTGTTAATAGGAACAATGACTTCTAAATCTATATTATATAAAATATATAAAAGTTGACTTAAAATACTTCCCTGGGCTAGTTATCAGTAATCAGTAGTCAGTTGGACGTCAGCGGTTCAACAGTACAGACGTACAGCGAAGAGCGTAGCGACGAGCAGCGAAGTGTGCTTTGGTGGGGGCAATCGACCTGACGCAACGGAGCTTATTAGCTCCGGATGAGTACGACACATAGTTTGCACAGGCTTTTGTGTTTCAACAAAGCGAAAAGCGGATGCGGGGCTATTTTTAAGTTAAACCGCCGAGGGGTTGCCGTTATAGGCTCCTCGCGGAGGCTTTTAATAGCTTCGTGTCAGCTAAACATACGGGTTCACCTCAATGGGTCGACAGGTATGACACTGTAAGGCCTAGTTTTGAAATCTAGGTCGGACAGAAATGGCCCCTGCTCCTGAGCTGAGAGAAACTTGAAGAGGATCCCTCCCTGAGAAATCAGGGAGAGAACTACCGAGAGGTTGCTGGGACGACACCCAGGAAAACCGTCAGGCAGCGGCCAGACGGGACGACAAAAACAGAGTCTTCTGAGTAAGAAACTCCACAAAAGTCTTTTGAACACTTATGTTCACTGCCTTACGGTAATATGAGTGATCTCTCCCCCCAAAAAAGTGATGTCACACAGGTGACATCACAAGAAAAAGAAGACGGTGACAATCCCAAGTCACTCACCCCGTCCGTTGCATCTGCAATAAATTTATACAATGAATTTGATTCTAATATAAACTCTGACTCCGCGTTAAACGACGAAACATCCGACGACGAATCGTACACCCCGGACGAAGAAGAAGGAAAAAGTGAGGTAGAAACAGACGACAGCGTCTCGACCACCATGGAAGTCATCATCGACGAAGAGCTGAGCCCGGCCACCGAGTCGATTGAAGCCCCTCCCCCAAACAACGAGAGATAGCCCCCATAGTGGATATTATCTCCACCGTAAATGAAACCGAGCCGGAGGTAGGCAGAAAGAAAAAGCGACAGCGGCCAACTGCAGACTCCTCAGAAGATGAGGAAGAAGAAAGAAAAAGGACGATGGAGAAGGATGAAGAGATAGAGTCCCGAGATAAAGCCAATGAGCTTTACTAGTCAGTAGATCTACTGAGTGGACAGATAAGACTGCTCAAAGAAGAGAGCCGTCTAAGAGAACAACAGGTAAACGCCCAAATTCAAGATCTCCTAGCTCAGGTGACTGAGCTAAGGAAGGAAAATAAAGCCAAGGACGAGGAAATAAAGAAGCTGGTCGGCCATATAATGGCTCTGACCGAAAGAAACGAAAGAAAAGAGCAAGAAGATAAGAAAAGAGACGACGCCATCTGGGAAATAACCAGGCCACAAAGTCCACCCTGGATGGTACAAACAGCCACTCCTTCTAAGTCTGGATGCAAAAGCAAGCCAAAAGAACGTAAGGTAATAGAAGAGAAAGAAAAAGAAAAAAGCGAAGCAGGATGGACAAAAGTCCAAAACAAAGAAAAATCAAAAGGCACCGCTACTGAGAAATCAGTCAACAGTAGCGAGAAACCAAAAAAAGCGTTGAGTATTGTTGAGAAACAAACTCAGAAAATCCACGACAGAAAAGACGAAGCGCTCACAAAAGCTGCGAAAGAGACCCAAAAACTTGGAGGTACCGAAAGAACCTCAAGTTGAAAAAGAAAACGTCGTTGACCCTCAGATACCTACAGAGGTTAACGTTAAGAAACCTAAACCTCTTGCGATCATCTTAAAGACGGTCGCAGAACATCAAGCAATCCTGCAAAAAGCAGCAAAAAAAGGTATCATTTCAGATAATAAGTTTGCCAGATCTGACAGATCTATTGTAATTAATACCAAATCTAGGGAAGATTACCTAGGAGTCGTTAAACTACTGGAGGAACACATCCCGAAGGTAGAGTACGTTGCCTACCCGATAGATAGCGAGAAGCTAAAGAGAGTAATTTTAAAAGGGCCAGCGGCGAGCACAAGCACCGAATTAATTCTTAATGAATTAAGAAATAAAGACGTCGATGTAACTAGAGTCAGTAATATGTACTCTAAAAAAGAAGGAAAACCAATACTGCCTTTCTTTATGATCACCCTCAAAGAGGATGACATACAGAAAATCCGAAAAATAACAAACTTGTGCTACATGAGGATCCGTTTCGAAGACGAAATCAAGATCACAAAAGACACCCTACAGTGTTTCAACTGCCAGGGTTATTACCACAGTTCTAAGGCTTGCCACTGCAACTCCAGATGTGTAAGGTGTGGTGAAAACCATCTAAGCAATGAGTGCGAGAAAAGCGCATAGGCTAATTACAGAGGATGCTCCAAAGCTCCAAAAAAGAAGTCCTCTGCCCCCGTAAAACCGGCGGGCAGACCACTCAACCCAACGACAACAACCACGGCGTTCAGCTACGCACAAGCAGCTAAGAAAACCCCAGGACAAGAGGCCCCAGTACCAGCCTCAACGGTACAAGACGCGGCCGCACTCATTGCCACATTCCACATGGAGTATAATAGAAAAATGATGGAGATGATGTCCATGATGGATAGGGCCACAAAAATGATCACTGCATTCGGTGAA